AATAGTTTTCTTGCCTGCTATGCGCTTACGGTGGTGGATCACTGTTTCTAAAACTAAGTTTGGCAAAGAAAATGAAATTTAGAATTTAAAAATTTGGATAATATAATTGAATTTACCACAACCTGAAACCCAAAGAATGATACGAGGAAGAATTTAGAGAGAAATTACATTTTACTTTGACGTTGATTAAGAACCATTAAAGTCTCAAAACTAACATAGCGAAACAGAGGTAAATAACCGGAAACACGATTTCTGAGCACAGTACCTATAATGTGCAACTGAAACACCCCGTGGAATGTAGGCTGATCCAAGAGTCGAACGTATCCCTCCTATAAAAATTAATAAACTTCCAAAGATATTTACGATGATTTTCAATGATATAGGTATTCAAGGTATCAATGTTTATGAAAATTATGAGTCTTGAAACGATTTTCAAATTTTAAAACGAGGGTGAGGAATGTTTCTTTGCGGGATACGCCCGTAAAGCCCTATAATTGAAACTTAACACGGACGAACCGTAGATTTTGAGCCGTTGCTTAATTAAGGCGGTCGTCAAAGCCTATGTAAAACCTGGGCCAATTTTAGTATGGGTTAAAGATTGCATCTCACCTCTACTGTTATCAAAGGTGTATGAAATTGCATGTAGCTGTGGCCACAGTTACACCGGCGAGACGGAGCGAACCACAGAAGAACGCATTCGGCTTTATAAGAATAACGCAAATAAATTGGCCTTAGCCCTCCACACATGCAAAACCGGCCAGGGAAGACTACGAGGACCGAGGAAGGCTACGTCTCACATTAAACGCCCCCAAAACAATGTCTGAGGCGTATGATTCCATAAGACCTGGAACCCTTCATTTAACTGAGACGCCCGGTCACGTCAGTGCGCGCTTTCGGCTGCTTTCTGACATTCGTCAACAGGCAGTCCCCATCCCGGCCTGGGGAATCCTCGCCCAATTGGCTGATGCCTTCACCGCTGTGGTTGATCGACCAATCGGCAGCCTGGTGGAAGAAAACCTCGTTCTATATAAACCGGTGCGCAGTCCCACATCCGCGTATTAGGAAGATTGCAGAATTCTAGCCGAAACGTTGGCAACTTTGCGTCTGTGTCAGCCCTAGAGAAGATACTGAAGATGCTGTCCATCGGCTTGAATACATTCTTGGTTCCGGAATATATTTTGATTTACTCGTTGAAGCAAATCGAGGATTTACGGCAATTTTTTCCACTATGGTCCGTCGGGGCACTTTCTTCGAATGATGGATTCTTCCGTACACCTGATTTCTTAAGTATCCGCAAAGAGTCGTAACGAGGTGATCTGGGATGCCATAATCCGCGGCTAGTTATTCGATCATTACTCTTGGTGTTTAAAAATGTTCATATGTCGATCGGCAGTGTGAGCAGTTGCCGAAGTCTACTCGAAATAACAAAAGCTTCAAATGTTTAGTTGTTGTGGCCGAATCTTTTGATACACTCGTCTGTTAAGTGAGACGTATCGTAGATTCACGGCAATTTTTGTAATCTGGCACTGCTATCGTTAGCTCTTTCTTGTAACAGGACGTAATGTCATCGATGCTTCTGTTGTCAGTTAAAATTCCGTGATACGAAGTTTCTTGAGAAGCTTTAATATTGTCGACCAAAATGGAACTTTGTCCCCCGGAAATTAAGCAGTGAACGAAAATATCTTCGTGAAAGGCATACAGTTTCCTCTTTAACATTTTTAATGGAATTTGCATTGAACTCATTTACTCCATCTTGGGAATCAGCGCGAAGCCATTGTCATCCCAATAATTGAAGAAGGAGAGAATTGAAGAACCCCATCAAGCGGTACAGTCTCGCCTAGCTGCGTCCAACACTTAGCTGCGTTTGTAAGCAGAGTGAATTCTAAAAACTTGTGGGTCCTCAAACAAAATAATTTGCGAACACTCATCCAGCGTGAAAACAAATTTCAGAAGAGGCACCGGTCAACATTCGACCACCTAAGCACATTAGCTATAAAGATCTCCAATTTGTTCGTACCCCTCGTAGTCTTTTTTTCTTTTATGTCAAAAAAAAGTATGGAAGTACACCATTCTTCGCACTTCAGTCTTGGGTACTCTAGTGTTGTGGCGGCTGCTGCCCCAACAACCTTGAGGTTGCAGCTCTATCGAATGACGTAAATGTAATTTTCTAAATTCATAGCACTAATATATAATGAAACGTGAGCAATTAATCTGAATTAATTAAATCTATGTTTAATAAAAGTCCGCATTGAAACATTACTTACATATTGTTATGCGTAGAGTCCGTGTCAGGGATATTCACCTCCCGCGCCCGTGGCTCTAGCTTTGATTTTCAGTGGGCACCCGAGTTTTTGTAATTGTACATTGAGACAATTGATGGTAACATAATTCATACAAAACAAAAAATTAACTTGGTTTAAAAAATACGGTAATTCCAGAACTTTGCGACAAGCACTACTGTTTGGACACGATTTACACATAAAATTAATTTGTTTGGAAATTTTCACTACCCCCACAAAGCTTGCAGACTGGCTGTCGCAAAGATGCACACATCGTGAGAGACATGGACTTTCTTCCAGAACGGCCAACTTTACACAAAGGTACCACCTAGAATTGACTGAAATTGTGTGCTTCTAGTATCACGCGACATTCATAAAATTAAGTTCCAGCTACTGTCAGACGAAGACGGAAAATTGATATTCCCCCCGGACGCCACGCAGTGCTCGGCGACAAGACCCCCACTCACTGATCCACTAACCCCCCTACCCCCACCCATTAAAGGAGACTTGTGGCCGCGCCGAACGTGCTATGTTAAAGCAATGAGCCAAAAAGTAAACGCAGTAATAGGTTTGTTTTGAAAATGATTTCATTTACATATATACTGCTGCAATATTTTGAATATTGAAGGTCATTAAAAGGAACAATGTATAATCTCATTATAAGATATTTTCCATTAACTGGGGTTAAGCACAAGCTGCCACTGTTGAGAGGCAACTCCCGTTGTTCCGATTGTTTTCTTGGCATCAAGAGCTTTCCACGACTATATTTTAATCACCAGTTGGAAAACGGTGTCTCCCAAGGATTAATCCTGAATGTCACTTTTCTTCTGCTATCAATAGTATAGTTACAATTGTACGAGAGCCTGTGTAAGCAAGACTCTTTGTTGATGACGTAGCCGTTTTTGCTCTTCAAGAGCTTACATGTTGCTTAAAGACAACTCACCATTAATAGAAGAATGGAGCAATAAAAATTGATTCAAGTCGTCCATTTCAAAATTCAATATGCATTTCTCAGGATTCATCAACTCTTTAATCCGTCACCTTTTTCTCCTGCAGGATTCATCATCTCACATATCTTTTTTTTTGGGGGGGGGGGTCACAAACATTCTTTTGTTGATGCTGGAGCTTTTCTTGGCCTCACATTTGACAAGTCACATTCAGAAAACATGGTACAATCACATACTAAAGCCGATGTGTACCTGAGTTGAACTTCCTTCGCACCCTTAGGGGTGGAATTTTGGATTATTGTATATGAGTCTCCATCTGTCCTCCAGCCATCAGAGTCTACATTATGCTCCTGCCATTACTCTCCATAATGCAGATTCATATCACCAAAAGCACCTACCACAGAAACCACATCAAATGCTTTGTGGCTGAGGGTGGAGAGCCATTTCTGAGATGAAGTCCTTACATTTGTATCACTTCCTATTGTCTGAAATTCACAGCCTTAGATTCTTGTTCTTTCCAAGCTATTCTTCACCTACGTCATTGGATATCACGCAAGCTGAGATCATCCTTATCCTATCCTTGCATCTGTGTCTTGTGTTTAAATCCTCAACGTTCAACTTCACATCTCTGTAAAGCCCTCTTGAAACCCTCTCACCTTTAGAAATTTCTATGGCTCTTAATATGCAAGTAATTAGGGGGATTGTGGATGTAAGTTACCAAGTTACCGTACTAATTTAATAAACAATTCCAATATTTGTAACAATATTATTGACAGGTGTTTAAATTCAAAATTTGTATATGAAATATTTATAATTATGAATGGTTATTAATTTAACTTACCTGCAGATACCCACATAATTTTGAGAGAAATTAATAAAACGTTTTATTACTAGAAGAAATTATAATTGTTTAGTGTTTCTTTGGGGAAGTGGCCCTCTATGATAGAGCAGGCACTTTCCAGAAAGCATTGAAAACTGGAAAAAATAAGGGAATTCCGTTGCTCAGGAAAATGAGGAAATTTGTAATCGTTAGCAGTCAGGGAAAAATTGAGCTATGGTTATAAAACTATATATTATTCTTTAAAACATTATTATATCATTATTTTTTCTCCATTTTTATTTTGTGAAAAATATTATATATTCATTTGTACTTTGCCTTGTTCAAATCAGGGAGCTGATAAATTAGCACCAGTGTAGCTTAAATATTTTCTTAAAGTAGTGTGAAATTACAAATTTATCTAGAAATAATTTTCAAAAATCCCCTGGAAAACTCGAAAATGTGTGGCCACCCTGTAGGGGAGGTGATAGGTCAGATATTTCATCAATACTTACGACATCCTGGAGGGTCTAGTAAGTCTCCATGTCTCTCTAATGTTATTATACAAGCTCAATCAAGAAATATAAATCAACGACCCAGAACATGTGTGGGTGAATGTAATTTGAATCTAACAAATAAATTATCTTCAATTTATATTTTCTCTGTTTTTTGTCCCCTTTATGTCATCCAAGTTCACCTGTCCTTATCAAAAATACCACTCATTCCTGGCAGCTTAGCACTCTAAATTAAGAGTTGAAAGGGGCTATGTGGTTTCTTTAGAAGCCCAGTTTTATTTCATTATGTTAAGGAGCATGAACAAAATGTTATCTTATGTTGAAATTGTTTGCTAGATATCTTTCTATGATCAGATAAGCATGTGAGTAAAATCAATTTAAAAACAGGATATTGATAAAGTTTCATTACTTTAAGTATTTATGGCAGATTTAATGATTACAGAGTTGGAGAACATTGAATATGAATACAACAGTAGATTTGGTGTCGGATGAAGAAACATTCCCTGTACAAAAGAAAATTAAAGAAAGTCCAAAAGAAAAGTGTGTGAAGAAGGAGACCTCTACTCCAGCACGTAGCAGAAGAAACTTAAAAAATGAACTAGACACTGAAAAGGATTCTAAATCTAATGTGAAAGATGAAGTTAAGAAAACGGCAGCTAAAAAGAGACCTCCAAAAAAGCAATTAACATCACCTGCTAAGAAAAAACCTAAACTAGAACCTGATGGAGAAAATAAAAAAAAGACAAGCAGAGTGAAGACTGAAAAAGTGAAAAAAGAAGATGAAAGCCCTGAAGATATTTCTTTGGAATCTTCAGCTGCAGAAACTAGCAAATTCCAGGTAAAAATCTTTTAATTATATTATCAGGTTATGTTCATCTGATTCAGTTGAATAAAATAATGTTTAATTTTTATTTATTTAAGCTGTAAAAATAAGAAAAAGAGCAATTGTCATAAATCATTAGAGGACGTAATTATTACGTAAACTATATATGTTAATATAATGGTATATTGTGTTTAATAATATAATAATATTGTGTTTCATATGGAAGTAATATCTACAACTCATTAAAAGACACTACTACTACTACTACTACTTCTTCTTCTTCTTCTCCTTCTTCTTCTTCTTTTCTTCTTCTTCTTCTTCTTTTCTTCTTCTTCGTCTTCTTCTTTTCTTCTTCTTCTTTTCTTCTTCTTTTCTTCTTCTTCTTTTCTTCTTCTTCTTTTCTTCTTTTTCTTCTTCTTCTTCTTTTCTTCTTTTTCTTCTTCTTCTTCTTTTCTTCTTGTTCTTTTCTTCTTTTTCTTCTTCTTCTTCTTTTCTTCTTGTTCTTCTTCTTCTTCTTTTCTTCTTGTTCTTCTTCTTCTTTCCCAATAAAGTTAGTTGTATGAATGTTATATTTAGTTAGCTCATGAGTTACTAGAAAAATGAATAAATTATAATTTTTTTGCTGCATTAGAACTGATATTTTTGGATATGATAACTACCCAGATATAAACTTGAAATATTACAGTTCCATGAGAATGTAATACAGCTCTGCAGTATCCTGTGTTCTGTTTTAAAATAAATTTAACATAAGAAAATCTATTGGGGCTGAACTTTCAATTACATTCATGAATGTGTGTAATTACATTGCATTTGTTTCTCGGTGATTGTTATTTGATATTGAAGTTTATTTTCAGCCTAAACTGCAATTTGGTGTGGAATGGCGGGTTGAACACGTCATTGCAGATAAACTCAATTTGCCACCACCAATTATTAAGAATGTTGTACGACTTTTTGAAAATGAAAACACCATTCCTTTTATTGCTCGATACCGCAAGGAACAAACCGGAAACATGGAACCAGAAATGTTGCGACGAGTGAAAGATAATTATGAACGCTTATTGTAATTTTTCTTTTAGCCTATTCTGGAATGTTAATGTTTGATAGTATAATATTATATTATTGAAAATTAATTTATGATTTTTGTTCATATAGATCTGTTAAACAGAAGATAGATACTGTAGCAAAATCAATTACTAAACTGAACAAAATGACTCCATCAATATTGGCTGCCTTGCAAAGTTCGCAGACAATGAATGAAATCGAACATATTGTAAGTATCATCTAATATTTATTTTATTTATTTATTACAGGTTGTAAAATTTACAATTTGATAATTACACTCACATTAGGCATAGCCTGTTCACACACCAGTACAAAATATGTAAAATTCAAGGTTTGGAAGTGAGTAGAAATGTTTCAGTGGTGTCTTTTCTAGAAAAATATTTTTAATTTAGACAGATTACAGTCACTAATAAGTTATTCAAAGAGAAATACTCACTTTTGAGAAACAATACTTTTAGAATGTTTGTATGAATTTTGTTCAGTATCTAAAATAGAATTATGGGTAATTCTCCAAATAGTTATCCCTAACGCAGCCAATGATCAAAATAAAACCTAAAACAAGATGTGTAGCTGGTTAACACTAATCACAACTTATAAATAAAATAAGTTGTGGTTTCTTACAGTGCAATTCGAAATATCTAAACTTTCCCACTTGTTTCTGCACTTGGCCATTCCACTTGAAGTTTAAGTTTTATACACAAATATTTTGCATCTGTCACTCATAATAATTCAGGACACTCACAATCAGTGATAATGCAATTAGCTTTTGCAATTTTGTATTTAATGCAGGTAATACAATTAGGTATTTGGGTATTATAGTTTAAAAGTGTACTGTCAGAGTACTCACCAAAAGTAATGTAAACATTTTTAGTATTCCGCTAAGTACTTTTAAGCTCAAGCCATCTAGCCACCATTGCTAGCCACCTAGCAATATGAAATAGTTTGTTTCCCACTTCTTTCAACACAATTTACCAAGTATTACCTTTGATTACTAAACCTGTCAGCTTTCTCTAACTCTTTCATGTGGAGTAAAAATAAAAAACATCATTGCTGTAGAGTACAAACAACAAGAGTGGCAGCCCATGGCCATAGTCAGACTGCACTCCTTCCACTACTGGTATCCGGGTTCAATTTGAGGTGTTTCAAGCGAAATTTGTGGGGGGAAAAGCAGGTTTGCAGCAGGTTTTCTTGGAATACTTCCATTTCCCCTGCTAATATACATTCCACTGAATAGCTCCATCAACAATTCCGTACCCTATCCTATCATTAACCACTATTCCACTTAGGATCAACAGATCACAATGATTTTGTGGCAATAACCAAGGAACAAACTGGGAAGGGCTGCAACTACATCAGTGGGTTATTATTAAGGTACGGTTTATTGTATAGGACCCCTGAAGGCTTATAATATATTATATATATTATTGTAGAAGATCCCTGAAGGGAAAAAAAAAACAGTTTAGTTTTTTGACTTTTTAGAAAATAAATACCAAAAGTCCAAGACTGACCCTTGGAATACACCACATTGAACAAATAAATCATCTGCATGGGACTGATTTGCTCCTACTGTTTGCAGTCTATTTTTCAAGTAACTTTGTAACAAATCTAGTGTTTTGCTTCTAAATCCAAGCTGAAATAATTTGTTCAAAAATAGTTCATGGCGCACTCTGTTGAGAGCTTTAGCTAAAAAGAAAGTGGGTAGATTTAGAATTTTCATCTAATGCATTTTTAATGTGATTAATGACAAATCTATGCTTTTCCCTTCCTGAAGGCAAAATTGCATTGAATTTATCAAGTTGTCTTTGACTTTGATCCACTTTTAATGATCTTTTTGTAGATTTTAGCCAAATTCAATATCAGTGATACATGTCTATAATTTGTAGGGAGATTTTTATCTCCTGCTTTGAATATCGGGATGAACTTACCATTTCTAGGGGAGAAGCAATGTAGCAGAGTCTATGTTTTTGTTTAGTATAAAAGTCTGGGATTTTGACAAAATAATTTACAATATGTTTAACGCCTGTAACTGAACTTTTGTTTACTGAATGTCTGATACTTGTTAACTGACATGCCAAAGGGAATAATCAATAGGTGCCATGAAAAAATTTTCATTAATAGAGATAACCACATAATCAAGGTGTCCGTTTTAGCAGGTTTAGCCGTTTTAGAGTAGATGGTACCTTGCAGCCCCAACAAGTGAACAAAATGTTCTTTTTTAAAGAGTATCTTATGTTTGTATTTCTTTTATTCAGTATGCCCAGTTTAAGCCTTCAGGAGCTCGTACTTTGGCAGAAAAAGCTCGAGCCCTTGGATTAGAAAGCCCTGCCATGGCTATTTTGGAGGGGACATCGTGGGTAAACCCAACAACCCTTGTGAACTCACAAACTGGATCTTTGGAGAAAGTGTTGCAAGGTTTGCAGCATATAATTGCTGATGTCATAAGCAAAAACAAAGCCATTTTGGATACAATGCGAGAACTGTAAGTAGTGTGTTTTACAGTGAACTATGAATGTAATATTTCTAAATTCCATTTGTAGTTTTATTTAAAACAAATTTTTGTATATTTTTTCTGTTAATCACCTATCTTATTTGATTTTCTACATGTGACAAATACTACATAAATTGTAATCACAAAAATTGGTAAAAATGTATACTATTTGTCTTAGTTTGTCTAATATGTATTGTAAAAATGTGCATTTGCATATAAATGTTGGCAACACTGGGTCACTTTGTCTGGTCTATTAATATAATTTTTTATTAAAAAAATTCATAAGAAAATTTATAAAAGGGGATCAACTCAAAATTGTCCTAAATGTGGAAGGTAAAAATGTGTATTATTCTTAATTTTTTATTGACCCAAAATATTTGGGTTGATAAAGCTATAGGTGCCTTTGAAAATGTAAATGCCTGATTCTTGCTTTGAAGTCAAGTCCTCTTTATTTAGCCCTCTGACAATTTATCATGTTTCTCTAATCTGTATTTTCAGAGAATAAAAAAATCCATTTATTTGTTTTGAAAAAAAAAAATGAAATTTTCCATGATCTTATTCTTAGAGCACAGAACAAATTTCAAAATCCTGACTCAAATAATAAAAGAAGCTATCAACATTTGAATTTACTCTTGTAATTGGACATGGCTCAAATCTAAAAGTTCAGATTTAATACTAAGCAAAGGTTGCATTCCCATAAAGTATTTTTATTTGGTGGTAAATTTCAATAATTTGGACTAATTTGTTATGGGGGACTAAATTGACATTACTACAAATACCCTGCATTAGACATCTGTGTGAGTAAGCCATCAATCCCAAACTCACAGTAACACAATGAGTATTTACCATGAGGGAAAAGTTATTCATGCTATAATGATATTATTACAATATCCATATCCATATAATGATAAATCTAGATTGTAATGTAAGTAGGTTTTGATTTTTCTATTTCTTATTGACATTGTTAATGCATACTATTTTAGTTATGAAAAAAACAAATATAGTATAACTGTGGAGTCTAAAAGGGCAAAGACTGCTACAAAAGCTGATGAAAAGAAAGCGGAAAGGAAGGCAGCAACTACATCAAAGGCTGGAAAAAAAGTAGATGAATTTACTGCTGAGAAGTTTCAAATGTATTTTGAATGGAAGTCATCAGTTGGTAACATCAAACCACATCAGGTATGGGAGAATATTTCAATTTTAAAACTGCGTTATTCATTTGTGCCCATACACATTCCCACAATCAACGGTCCTCCAGGCTAGATGGATCCTCTTTTCTGAGTGAGAATATTAAGTAATTATGTGTTAAATTGGATAATAAAGTGTAATAATGAAATTATGGTTCACTGTAGCACCTATGTGCCTAAATTGTGAAGTTCTTTGGTGATTCCTGCAATGTTTTCGGCTGTAAGTTCTGCCTATCCCCTCTCAGCCTGATATAATGGCTATCTTTCTGACTCAAGTGAGCATTTATAAGCTGACCTCACAGAGGGACAGAGGCATTTTTTTGGCACAGGGTAGTGTCAAGCCTCAGCCTTTTAGACCCATAGTTTATTGTCAAAAACAGGACCTTCTCTACTTGTTAATGCACTTTTTTCTGAAACACTTGGTATATGAAAATTCCTAACCTTAAAGAATATTTTCTTTGGAATTTTCTTTGTTTTCTATATATGGAGGAATCCTTGTTAGAAATGAAAATTATGAGGCTTAAGTGAAATCCAATTTTTTAAAAATTTTTTGCATTTTTGTAGGTGCTTGCAATTCTTAGAGGAGAATCATTAAAAGTTTTGTCAGTAAAAATCAATGTACCAGATTGGTTTCTGCAGCGTGTGAAGCAAACATGTGAGAGAGTATGGTTAATGAAAGGAATCAGAGATCCATCTAGATTTGATATAGTTCAAAAGGCAATAGAAGATTCATACAACAGATTGTGTAAGTACTATTGTCAATTTCATCCTGTTTAAATCTAAAACATAATATCATCTATTTTATTTTCTTCCTATTACTGGATTTTTGAAAGAAATCTTTGTAAGAAGTTTCCAGCTGTGAGTTCAGAAAAAAATAATGCAAAAACTTTTGAAATATGCAAGGTCATAAAGAACTTAACACTGGTACCATAATTCTGTCTTCTCCCTCTCCTCACAAATGATGAAGTCTTGTCAGTGAACATCCAACACATATATCTCATTGCATGTGACAACATAAGGGTTTTCTCCTAGTGCTGCATGATCAGTTGAGAAATTCAAATCAGGATGCGCTGACACTTGAGTTATATCTTACTCTAACTACTAAAATAGCTGCATTCATTGCCTCCTTATCTCACTTTCCCCTGCCGCTGTGTCTGATGTATGTTTGTGGCATACTGATGTGCACCTGATCAACACATCAACACAAATGTAGCGTCACTATGCGCACATTTTGTTGAACTGTCCTTTTGCTTGCAATGGTAAGAGTAGAGGTAAGGGCGAGTTGTTATTTTGTTAGCAATGTTAGCAAATATCAAAAATCATACTTGCAATTCATGTACCAATGCAAATAAGTTTTCTATAACTTGTAGCTTAGAGTGTACACTGAACTGACTTCCTCCAGGTGAGGTACATTTCTAGGCAACAGAGAACTCTTGAGGGACCTGCTACCTAATAGCACAGTATATATATTTATGCTAATAGCATGTTTGAGAAATACTGAATTCGTCATCTGATGCACTTCGCCACCTTACCCTTTCTGCCCCTTCCTGCTCATCTGTTTCTTGTGGCATGTGCTTATGTTGTTTCTCTTTAATCACTACCTACAAACTTTTTTGGTCTTAATTCTGTCTGATGCAGAACTGGGGAACAGTTCCCTTCACAACAAGATCACACTTACAAAGTTTTGTGTCTGTGGTTTCTTATAAATGGCACAGAACTATTATCTCTCTTAATGTATTATATGTAGAGTAAATAGCTGAGATGGCCCCTTGTTTGCTCCTGAACAGTAATATAACTTCGCTCTCTCCACCCAGGGCATCATAATGACTCGTCATACACGATTGTAATTGTATATGTGACTCAATAAATATTATTATTATTATTATTATTATTATTATTATTATTATTATTATTATTATATGATAACATTTTTATGATGTCAGATGTAATTTGTAACAGAAGGAGGAGGTCCTGGTGTGTATGCGCACTTAAGAATGTAGAATACGTTTGTTCCAAAATTATATGAAGGGTGAGAAGAGAGAGCCATATGATGACTAATTTTGTGTATGAATTTGTTGAATGACCCCCTTACTATACTATTCTGCCATCTGACTTCTCTCTTGTCCAAGCATCTTGTGACTCTGCCATCATTCATAATAAACAAAATATTCCAGCACTGTTTATGCTAACATACACCTCACAACATGGCCTCTTGTGGTCTTCACATGTTGGTGACCTTTCCATCCAAATTTTTATCTTTTTCATTATAACATAAATCTTGACTTTCCTGTCATGGTTTATTCTAAATGCTGATTGGATCTTTTTCTAATGTGTAAACACACCTGTTCTTGGCTTAAATTCTAATTTACGTGCAATTGTTCAAGTAATATAACACTAGTTTTCAATTTATTTTTTGTTTTGTATTTATGTAATAAAGGGCATTTTCTAATTTGTAGTTCCAAACTGTCACAACATCCAATACAATGTGCAATCTATGGTATGAAAAAACATGGTAGAGAATATTAATTTATTCGTTTTGGAAATAGACAATACCAGATATTGTGTACAGATTTTTATTGACCTGAAATATGTATATTTGGGTAACTCTGTGAATGAAATGAATTTTGATTGTTTTTGAAAGTTGTACTTGAAGTATTTTGTTATGTGAATTAATTTAAGCTGTTTTTACTGTAAATGGGTGTCTGGTCCAAGATATGTGTTGATATTATTTACCAATTTGTTGAAAACATCACATATGGATAAAGTGTATGGATTCTATTACGAATTGTTTATTTACATCATTCAAATTGTTGAATTAATAGTTGTTTTTTTATTTTAATAAATAATGCAGTGCAGCCTCATGTTGTGCGTCAAATTCGTAGTGACCTCATGGAAGAAGCTCATCTAGCATCTATTGAAGTATTTGCTAGCAACCTTAAGCACCTGCTTCTGACACCACCCTTTCGAGGAAAAGTGGTGATGGGAATAGATCCAGGTATAACATTCTAATATTTTTTAAATTGACTGCTGTATTATAAACAATAGAAGAAAGTTATTTGTGATTTGACTTTTGAATATTAACAGTCGTGTACTAGTGTCATTCCAATACCTGGTAAACACCACATAATAAATTGCAACATTATGGAAGGAAAATTTTATATATTTAAGAACTAGTGCAGACAGTATTTATCAACATATCCATTTTTTAAAGTTGTGTACACTGCCAGTCAAAAGTTTTTGGATACTGCTAATAATTTCAAATTTGTGACAAATAGATTGAGAGAGGAATAATACACTTATAGGCTATGGACATTGACTATTATATTATCTTCATATCTTTCGCCAAAAATGTGTATGTTTGCAATAAATGGAAAGCTTTTAACGTGAAAAAGTCAAATTTGTTAAACTGTCTTTTCATAGAAAAAAGCCATCTCATGCCAGAATAACTTTCTTGACAATTTATGGCATCTTATTTGTGAGTTTCGCACAAAAATAGTATCTTCAATGAAATATTTTAGAAAACCTGTATTTTTCAATTCTGAACCACTATGAACCAGAAACCATGGAGTACCTACAGTCTCGACTCCATAGCACAATACAGCAAACTGTGGATTTCCCAGACACCTTACACATTGATCAGTTAATTGTGTGAGGATATTAGGATCCCTAAGTAATGTTCATGTACACAAGATAAATTGACACAATGACCCTACTTCAGTGCCCTGGATTTGAGTTGCACTAGGAAGGCCAAATACAGTGCACTGAGAAAAAATTTGAATGGGTTTCCAAAAACGTTTGACCAACAATATACTCACATATAATGAAATATCCTCAAAAAAAATTATTAAGTAAGATTTAATGTTCTTGTAATTAACTTGGCATAGCATTATTGCACCTATGTTTGGATTCTATTTTATTTTAACTTTTAGGATTTACACATGGATGTAAACTAGCAGTTGTAAATACTAATGGAGAGGTGTTGAAGACTGATGTTATGTATTTACATTCAGGGAAAGAAAGTGATAAATGGAAACATTTAATACGATCACTTTTAATGGATCACAGGTAACTTTATGCTTGAAATAACCAAGTAATGTTAAATTTTCATTCAAGGTGTTAAGATTCTTCAGCGAGAAATGCTCCTAAAAAGTATTAAATTTTCTTAAATAATTTTTTCTTGTTATTGTATTATCATTCTTTGATTTCTTGTATTGTGCTGTTTGGTATTTTGTTTTTGTTCAACTTTGTTTCTCTTTTAAAAGATAGATATAAATATTCACTAAGTAATGAGCTTGCTGTTGTGGGATGTCAGTATTTCTAATTTGCATTGTTAATGTGCTTTTAGAGTTCATTAAATAGGAATCATTCTCAGAAGTCCCTCTCTGATCTTCTTAAATTTTGGATATTGGGGAAGATGAAGGAATGTCGGAATTGATGAAGAAATAAGTCTCCTATTTTTTTCTTTTCTGCAGATAAACTTTTTAAAGGATTAAAATTCCTCTCTCCTCCACACCTGAAGGAGTTAATAACTGATTTTCCTCTTTGTCACAGAGAAATGCAATATTTTCAACCAGACAGCAATTACAAAATATATGTGACTATGACACTTCAGAAATTCACTTCGTTGCATTTTTCTATTCTTTGGTGTTAGGGGTAAATTTACTTCCATACTGAATCAGATTCCAAAAAGGCTACGTAATGCAACCAAATAAAAAAGACCACAGGATCTACTGACAGCAGTGATTTAATCCTGTAATACTGGAAATACACTATTTTAATAGAAAAACTGCTATTTTTCATACAGGTTTTTATGATTAAAACAAACATTGCAATAGGTATTATTACTTAAACTCTTTTGCTTAGAGAAAATTGCTGTTTGATTTTGGGTGAGATTATCCCACCTCCCCCCAAAAAAACATTCATTTTAAAAAACTGCTCTGTCAAAAATCTTCGATTTTATAAACTCATAGTGAGGTACTAGAATCAGAAAATCTTGTTTCAGTATGTAGTAAATTATATCCTTTAACATAATTTGTATTCAGAATCCATGTTTTGTGGATCCTTGATAGCGAAAAATTAGTTTCTCCAAAATGGATATTCTCAACTCACGGCCCTTTGAGTTTGAAATGGATATTTTGATTTTTGGGGCCTTAACATTTCTAAATTTTCTCAAAAATTGCTTCTATTTTTTATTGTGAATTTTCCAGGTGTGAAATTATTGCATTGGGCAATGGTACAGCTTGCCGAGAAACTGAAATGTGGATTGGTTCACTTATATCTCAGGGTTATTTTAAGCCTTTGGATGTGAAATACACAATTGTGGATGAACAGGGTGTTAGTATTTACTCCTGTAGTCCTGTTGCAAAACAAGAGTTTCCTGAATTGGATCCAAATGTGATAAGTGCTGGTAAATTTTTTTTGTTTAATTTGTTTTAAAAGGGATAAAACATGAGATTAAAATGTTTGCATTTGTGGAGGATACAGATTTTGTGGACATTTTTTTAGGTTATTGAGTTTCAAAAGCAGGGTGCCAAAGACTGAAAAGCAGGGAATTGTCACGAAATGTTATATTGACTGAAAAATTCAATGTAAAACAGGAACTTTTTTATTTCC